GAGGGCCCATGGATTTGTGGGTGTTGAATTTCCTGAGGTGCACTCTGACCCACTCTTCCTCTACCCAGGGCAAGCCTTCCTCTCTCTGGCTCACTTCTTGTGTCCCTAGGGCCTGGGATTCTAGAGGGCTGCCCCTGACAAACACCGAAGCAAAGGTGGCTTTCAGCAGCTCTTCTTTCTCCGTGTTTTTCGTAACCAGGGTACCCATCCCATTCACCAGTGGACCCACATTTTCCCTGACCTTCCTTTTGTTGTTAATATATTTAGAGAAGTTCTTGGTATTTTTAACATGCCTCGCCAGATGACGTTCCAAACGCACTCTAGCTTTCCTGGTGCCAATTCTGTAATCCCTGATGACATTTCTGTATTTCTCCCAAGGGACCTGTAGACAATAAGTGGAATATCACAGAATCACAGAAAATACAGTAAATTTCATCTGACCATAGAGAATCACTTTTTACTGTGGAGATGGTTAAACCGTAGGACAGAGGTGCATTCTGACCTCAACAACTTTATGATTCTATGAACAGAAATATAGATTTTTAATCTAGAGTGGACATCACTGCCAACACAATATATCCAATATATACACTATATATAAATATACCACATATAAATAAAGTTTATATTATATGTTGCTGAGTGGTATGATTCTGTTCTTAAAGTTGTCCTACATAAATTCAATCTGTGGTAAGATTCCCTCATCATATTCTCAGAAAGACTTTCAGAATAATTCTGTTTGTTTCACTTGGAGCTGGTTGCTTAAGAAATCTCTTACCTTTTAAATCATGCCTGGTAGAAGGAGAAATTCAATCAAGCTTCTTGCAAACTTGTATTGAAAACTGTGTTATTTAGAAGATTCAATTACTCATATAAAAATAATTTTCAGATTCAGGACATTTCCTGTCCAATTCATACACCTGTCTAGTACTGTGCTTTTCAAATTGGCTCTGCTTGTAGACAGGAAGAATTTATTTATTTCTCAAACACCGTCTGYACTTCTTTTACTAGGATTAAGTAAATTTACCTAAATACATGTTTTTTTCCTCCAACGTCTGGTGAAATTTGTGCTTCAGAATAGAAATTAAGACAAAAGCTACAAAAATAAACAGCAAACACTCAAAAAAAATTGTAAACTTTGGTTTAAGTCTCCTGGTCCACTGGTGTGAAATGGCACAACTAGCATAGCATTGAGAAATTACCCATTCAAGCCAGATGATATTCCCCAACAGAAGAAACAAAAAATTTGAATGCACTGAAAATAAGAGATTGAAGCCAGGAATAAAAAGAAACAAAGAGAAAAGGGAAGATTAAATACAATCTATCAAGCTCTTTTTATACTTTACCTATTGCATTAATTTTTGTGTTGCCATTATTACATTCTTTTTTTTTTTTTTTCCCCCCCGCTCATCTTGCATACTGCAGCACTATAGATGGAAACTTTTTCAGGCTTTTGAAGAAACACCTGAGAATGCTACACTAACTGTCATGTTATTTATACTTTCTTCAAAAATCTTTTTCTTCTAGTTGATCTTCTCAGCATATCTCATATAGTGCATATGGTCCTAAATTTTTCCATAGTTATTCCACACTGGGTTCATAAAAACTCAACATGAAAATTGTTCTAAAATTTATTATGAATCATGGTCATTTATTCCTTTTAAGAGATTATATTTCTGTTTTACTTGAATTTCTGGCACACCACACACGTTTTATTATTTTAAAAACAAGTCTTGAATAGAACTCACACATCAAGAATGTTGTCAGTAAATAAAATAAAGGAAAATACATGAATATATGTATGTATACTATATATACAGTATATTTCACTATACATGATACATATGTATGTACGTAGAATATACATATTATGTTCATGCACACATATGCATCACGTACATACAATAAGAAGAACCTGATAAGAATGATGAAGTGTAGGGGGAAAAAAGTCTAGTTTATTGAGGAAGACCAATTTTAAGATGAAACATTCTAAGATTATGATAAGAACTCAAACTTTTTTATAGTCCTTCTGCTAGCATTCTGAGGTTTGCTTGTCACTRATTTTCATGGATATATACTTAAACTTTTTTTTGTTTGTATCTTTGCTTGCTTGTTTGTTTTTGCTTGGAGAGAAATATCAATCCAAAACAGTATTGTACATATATCTTTCAAGCAGCGAAGCAAATTAAAAAGGTTATGTGAAGCCATATTCTTTCCCCAAACTCAAGAGCCCTTTCTTTCATCTGAGTAGTCTAGATATATTTTCATTCCCACCCTTTTTTTCAAGATAACTTATTTTTGTTTGAGTCCAGCTGTGTAATCCCCAGTAGTACAGATGCTTTTAACTTCAAAGTTCATCTGTAAATTTATTTTCAATCACTCTTTTTTCCTATCCAAAAAAATACCTTTTTTTTTTTTCTGTTTTTATGTGTGTATGTTGGGAAGGAGAGGGGAAAAGCAGGAGGATTAGGAGAATTAGTAGACTGATAGTAACTGCAATTAGGTTGCATTCAAGTGCCCTCAGGTTCCTCAGATTTGGTGCTAGCACTAGAGATGCCTAGAGCAGAGATTTTAGTTACATAGATTAAGTACAATATGATGGAACATTTCATGTTTTAGGTAATAAACTTTGGGATTGCTGAATCCAAACAACTATCATCAGATTTTCAACCAGTCTGAGGTTTGGAGTTGAACAGACAATGAATTTTCAAATAGCTTTACATGAGGAAATAACATAATGAGGAAAGAAAGGTTTTGATGTGAAACTGTAMATATTTTACTTAACTTACTGATTTAAACAGAAGAAAAAATTAAAAAGTCATCATACTACTTTGAGAGCTGGAAATGTCTTCTTCTTTTAAAAGTGTGTTTTAAAAGATTTTGTTATATTTTTAATAGAATTCCAAAACAAGAATGGGAAATATATTCTTACAAATATTTTGACTGCCCATACATTATATTTTTCCTTGATTTTTTTTTCTTAATGTGGAAGGAAGGATTTACCACAGCAGCAGCCATGTTGCTTTAAAGGAGGGTATCTGTGTAGCATAGTAGCAGCTAGTCAAAAATGTTTGTAAAATCTGTTGCTCTTAACATTTTTAAAGAAGTTATACAAAATAATTTGTTTTCAAGCCTAATATCTCTCTGTACTGTCACATTAAACACAGGATGAGAATGAGGATGCAGCAAAAATCAAAAATCACTTTGTGTCTAGAAAAAAAGAATCTTCTGAGAGTTCTTTTGAAAAGAAAACTTTTGAAAGAAAAAAGAATGGTCCAATTTTAAACTCCATTCAAACTGTATGCTACTGAAAGAAACAACTGGATTATTCATTGTAGCCTATATTCATTCCAGTCTATTTCTAATTCTGACTTATAATTAGTTTATAATTCTCTCCTACACCTTTCTTTTCATAATATGAATACCAAGAAAATATATGGGTTTTTGATGCAGCATGCATCAAAGAGGCTCTCAMTAGAAAAACCTGACTGGTCCAGAATGCATTTGATATTTGGAATTGTTTCTGTCATGGCAATGTAATTGACAGTATTACATAGCAAGGCCTTCTCATCTGTTTTATTATAAAGGGAAATAATTTCTTAATCTGAAATATTTTTTTTCCTGAACTACCATCTTCAGATCCATTTTCCAGGAAGCATCCACACGAAAACTGTTACTATTTATTTACTTATCTAGACAATCGAGACATTTTACTCAAGTGCTTGTTGGTGATTTAGCTCGACTTTTCTCCATTTCAGTGATTTGACAATTTGTTTTTCTTCTTTTTTTTTCCTGTCAGCTCTATATTTTGTTATTTTCTTCTTTGCAGCCCTTGCCATTCAATGCAAGTCTGTAAGACAGATATAGATCTGTTCAAAGCAACACAGCAAAACCAAAAACACAACACTTAAGCCCAGATCATCAAGCAACAAATAAATATTTAYCAAGAGTGACATGGCAAAGCAGACAACAAATAGTTTTCCTTAGATACAACCAACTCTGGGATGGAAGATAGCAGCATCTTGACAGAAAATGTTTGGAAAGGACAAATTGTAAAAAGGAAAATTTTAAACAACTTTATGTGTTTGGAACTGAATCAGAAATTTTGATCTAACTTAGTACTCATCTAAATTTATTCCATAAAATAAGATCTTCAAGTGAATGACTTTTAACGCTTACCCAGAGCTCAGATCCCAGAAAGCARAAGCTTTACATCAAGGGAAGTTATAAGAGAAAAAAGAGAAGTAGTATGATAAGATAAAACTATTTATAGAAGAACTGAATGATAACTGCATATTCTATGATCTTCCTTCATCAGTAACAACTATATTCAGATGACTTCTCCAGATGGACAAAATATGAAATGTATCTTTTTTTTTTTTTTTTGTAAATTAATCTCATTATTATAATATTAGAGAATATAATCGCCATCAGAGTTGCACTACTTTCTCAGCAAAACCCCAAATTTGGTCTTAAAATAATGTGTTTTAACTTCAAAATAATGAAAATAAATCTAAACTAAGAGATACAGATGAAACTGTAAATGTTATATGAAAACCGGAGTACTTGTTACACATTGTAGCAAAAATTTGTAAAGATTTTCATTCAGCTATCTACCAGCATAATTCTGCTCTTAAAGCTAGAAAAAAAAATGAAGATTTCATTGCATTGTATTTTTTTCTATAAATAAATTCCCATTAAATTATAGTCTGATTTTCATTGGCTGACTAGCATATAAAAAAGAACTTGAATACTAGCGGATAAATGGACTAATTGATCAGACTCAGCCTAGCTCATGAAAAGCAGATCCTGCCTCACCAACCTGATATATGACCAGGTGACCTGCCTAGTGGATGAAGGCTGTGGATATGGTCTACTTAGACTTCAGTAAGGTCTTTGACATAATCTCCCACTTCCTTTTCCCGGGGAAGCGGGCTGCTCATGTCCTAGGCAGGTATACTCGTAACTGGGAGAAAAACTGTCTGGATGGCTGAGCCAAGAGAGAGGTGGTGAATGGAGTAAAATCCAGCAGGTGACCAGTCACGAATGGTGTTCCCCAGGGGTCAGTGTCAGGACCAGTCTTCCTTAATACCTTTCTCAATAATCTGGATGAAGGGATTTGCCAGACTACACCAAGTTGGTAGGAAGGTCTGTGATATCATCCGCTCTGAAAAAGATCAAAAGAAGCTACTTTTGGTGATCCCAAGAATAAAACTTGATTTAGTAAAAATAATAAAAAGAATTTTCCTGTGCTCTCCCTGACAGAATTTAAATAGATTAAAGAAAATCTCCTTCAAGAGTCAGACATTGAGATTAGCTTCTGAGTAGAGGATCAATAATTCAGAAATACATATACCTATCCATCAGCAAGATCTTTCCAGGTGAGGATTCCTGTAGACTACTGAACACACACCAGTGACAAAATATATTGAGCTGATACCCATTGAATCTTTCAGCCTTCCAACCTTCCTGTTTTGGTKATATCTACCAATTTCTACATACACAATATTCTTCCCTAAATAACACCTCATACACCTCTATACGTCTTACATTTTTTTTCCAGCAAAAAAAAAAGTTGTTAATATTGTTGCTGAAACTAACACATACATTTAATATTAATAGAAATTTMATTTGCTTGATGGGAGTTATATTTAATTTATACTTAGGTAGGTAGAAAAGGCTCAGGACCAGTATATACACACATTTGTTTTTATGACAGCTACATCTTCCTCTTAAATAATAATAAAAATATTACACTTTTCTCCATTAAATTTTTCCTCAAAATTGAAAGCATTTAAGCACATTCTTTTAAAGAATGAACATTTACAATGGGACTGTGGTAAACCCAAAGAAAGATTATTATTTGTTGACCATGTTTGGTGGAGGATGTGCTCCTGCCTTAAAATGTTTACAAATTGAATTAGACAAGGAATGTCAGACCTTTTGTTTGTTTAAGCAATTCCTTCAACTTAGTGTTTCCTTCCACCTGTTCAGCAGTGCGCCCTTGTCATTCAATGAAAATCCTTCAGTGCTTTTCCAAGCACTTTAGTCTCTGCCGGAATGTGTTCACAGGGTTACGGTGTGGTACATTTTCTTCTGATATGCTTTTAATGGAGTTACACTATTTGACAGCATATTTTTCAGCCTCTGATTTTATGCATTTTCGGATTTTTACAAAGGGACTTCAGTGATTAAACCTTGTTAGAATGCTCATGGTTACAAGTATCCTTAACTGAAACTTTAAATTAATATGCATATGGGACAAATTAGATGCCAGTGAATGTGAATGAAGTATTCACTCATCCAAATTCTCTGAAGACAATTTAGACTCAATAAAGAAATAAAATTGTACTAATAGATGCAGTTAGACGTATCTGTTTATGAATGAATTAGTGGATTGTCCCTTGACAGAGACTGTATTTGTACCTGAAAACAAATAAAAATATAAGACAAATATCATATTGGAGGAAATGGATCTTAAGTTTCCAAGTGACCCCAATTTAGTGAGGATTAACCTTTCTAGTGCAAGCCACTGTGTTATTGACTAGTATCAGTAGCATGTATAATGGCTAAAATTGTGGGAAATATTAATATTAATATTTATATCTGCATCCAGCTTCTTTCTTTGTCTTTTTACATTCTCACTTATTTAAATGAAGAGAGATTGACTATGACTTTTTACTACCTTTTATCCCCAGAGTCCATACACTCCCTGGATCAGCTATTGCTTTCCCATCTATGTTTATTCTTGTAGTACCAAAAGAGATGAGATATTATCTGAGGAAAATATAAATGTTGCATATATTAAGGATGGGAGAAGAGGTTCTTTATTTTTCTATTTTTTTTGTCTTAAAAACATTCATAAGAAAAAAAATATTAAAATTTATTCAGAGGCCAGATTGAACTACTGAAAGAACTAAAGCCACTGAAATTATCATGTTTCATATAGGTTGCAAGAACCTTTCAGTCACAACAAAACAAAAGAAAAAAATTTAAAAAGAAATCTATAGTGGTATACATGAAATCAACGTTTAGCATATTTTCAGAAACTTCTGGGATGCTGAGATGATAAGCATGTTGTAAAAGCTCTCACACAATAAATTCTTTGTACTCTAGATACATCTTTCTCGTTTTTGTCTACATCATTCTAATACCTAGCTTGATTATTCATTGTCATTAGACCATTATATTATCTCTTTATATTTTATCTTTATCTTTGCATTATCTTTTCAGTTTAAAGACTTACAAACAACAACAAAAAATGAAAATAGTCGATTATATGGTGTTTTTACTCTATGAAAAGTAGCAGGAAAGTTCATTCCTCTTTTCTTTGTTTGGTATTAAGTGACCACTGCTTGTTTCTCCAGGTCACAATGACATATCTTCAGTGCTAGACTTTCATTCAGTATTCATTTTCCATAATTTTGTTTCCATTTATCAATACTTGCATAGATAAGGAACTGCCAAATCATAAATCTGAGCATTAATCTCAGTTCATTCAACTTTACCGTATCTATTCTAGATAAATAGAACGGTTTTCAGATGTCTGTATAGTGAGAGAAGGGTGGTCAAATCTGACCTTTCAATGACATTCCAAATGTACTATCAAATTATTAGTGGCTTTTATTCTTCCACAGCAATAAATGAAGTATCTACTCCATAAGTACTTAATTTACTCATCATGACTATTGATCCATGTTCATACTTCTTGTTAATGATGCTGAATGTAATTGTCCTAATTTTCACTGGCTATAACTGTATTCTAATGCACTGATTAAGCTGTGGCTTCATAAACAAAGGTCAAATAAGCCCAAAGTTTAACTGAAGCCTAATTAAATCTTATTAGAAAACAATTGGTTTGAGATTTCACAGTCTTGCAATTACCCTGCAAAGTAGCTCTTTGAAGCTTACAATAGCATACTGTTTGCCATAGTTAAGTAAAATCTGTGTACATTTTATTGCAGAACTTGAACTTTCACAGCAAATTTACAACTGCAATGATTCATATCAGAATGCAGACAGTGCAGCAGTGCAGTACACCATCTTTGCATGTGCATTTTCAGAAAAAAAAAATTAGCATTACTATTTTTTTTAATTTATTTGTTTTTTGGCCTTGGCTACTCTTTATTGCTTTTCCCAAGCTATTTCTTAACGTTTTGTTGATAACTATACGAAAAACAATAAAACCAATGTCTTTTCCTTCATTTATGACTGTGTGGTAATATACAGAATAGTTTACGTATGCCAGATATTGCACTCAATGTTTGGTATGAGCACTCCATCAAATCGCATGGAATTATTTCACACGACATATAAGATGTTTGAAAGATATCTATTCTACAGGTCTTCATGCCCCATTCTGCCCTCTAGAACTTTTTTTTCTAGAACTGTGAGGAAGAACTTCTTCGCTGTGAGGGTGACAGAGCACTGGAAGATGCTGCCCAGGGAGACTGTGGAGTCTCCTTCTTTGGAGGTCATCCAAACCCACGTGGATGCCACCTGGTGCCCCATGCTCTGGGTGTCCCTGCTGGAGCAGGGAGGTTGGACTAGATGATCTCTAGATGTCCCTTCCAACCTTAATGATTCTGTGATTTTCATAGGTTCTTGCTTTTCCGCAGTTTCTCTTTTCATTTCCTCACAGTATAGGACAGATAATATTTACCCTCCTGGCTGTTGATCTTTTTTTGGTTTGTTTGGTTTGTTTTACAATGTTTTCTTTTGTTTTAACTTTTGTTATTATTGCTTTGCCAGAAGAAGCAATATTTTTAAGAATGSTAGAGCTCTTCCACAATCAAAGTCCTGAGGAGAGGACTTTGAATGTCTCAACCATTTCAGATGCATTAAGTTCAAGCTTGATAAAAATATAGACTAAAAATCAATAAACCATTTACAAATATTTACTAGAAAACACTTAATTAGAAATTTCAGTTTACTTACACTTTTGACAAACTGCTGATTATTATCAGATAATTATTTTAGAAGCATCTTAAGATTTTATRAGTGCAAACTGTTACAACTTCAGACAAAAAAATATTTTAATGAATGATTAATATGCTGAAAAAATATTTATTATATTTATTTCTATGTCAAACATACTTTCATAAGCTAGCTGTGCATTCATTTGATTTTTTAACAGTGCAGGTAGTGTCTTAGTCATTGCTCTGTCTCTTGAGTATGGCAACTTGGAAGGCAATGATACATTACAAATTCTCTGTGCCATTTCATAGAGTTCAGCAAGAACTAGTGAGTTCCTTTTAGGGTCCTGCATAAATGCTTTTTCTTCTTTACAAATGATATTGTGTTATGGCATTTACTGTATTTACGTTTACTTCTAAAAGGAATATATATTCACACAAATTATATGTTCAAGCTGGGTCTGTTTAGCCTGGAGAACAGACGACTGAGAGGAAAGACTGAAAGGAGATCTGATCACCTGTRTAAGTATCTGAAGAAAGAATGCAAGGAAGATTGGGCCACACTCTTCTCAGTGGTAGCCAGTAACAGGACAAGTAGGGTAATGGGTACAAACTGAAACACAGAAAGTTCCATTTCCATGTGAGGAAGAACTTCTTTCCTGTGAGGGTGACAGAGCCCTGGAACAGGCTGCCCAGGGAGATTGTGGAGTCTCCTTCTTTGGATACCTTCAAAACCTGTCTGGATGTGACCATAGAGCAAGGATGTGCCCTATGTGTCCCTGCTGGAGCAGGGGGGTTGGACTAGATGATCTCTAGTGGTCCCTTACAACCTCAACCATACTGTGATTCTGTGATTCTGTGAAATTATGTATAATGAATTATCTTCAAAGCATAGAAAGGCAGCTATTAATTTTCTGCTTAAAAGACAATAAGCTTTAAAAGGGTAAAACATTGCATAAAATATTTTGTAAWGAGGATGATTTCTCATTGTTTTTGTTAAATGACATTTCAGGCATTTTGATGTGTTTCACAGCTCTATCGAAATCTGAGTTCAATTAATTCATGCAGATAGCTAAAGCCATCATTAAAGGCAATTACTATTCAAAATATCCACAAATTTTTGAAAAGGATAAATAATATCTCTTGATTTTGCATAGTTTTTTATATCAATTTGCTAAAAACATTTCACATAAAAGTTAAGAGATCTTGTAATAAAAACCAAGACCACAAGCCCCTAGGAGTATATAGCACAAGACATCAATGTGACAAGCTGGTTGACATAGCCAGATATCTGTGTCCAGATATCCGTACCTTATGGTAGGTGATTGTCCAACATGGTGTGCAGGATCTGAGCTGTTCTACAACTTCTGAGTGATGATGGAAAGGATGTGACAAGAAAGCAATTGAATAATATACATTCATAATGCCAGGATTTTCTACTGTTTTCCTTTTATAAAAAAAAAATCAAAAAGATTTTGCCACCACTTGAGAGAATGAAATGCCAAGTTTATAGATTCTATAAATGGGAGACAGGATGCAGTTTTGTGAATCAGTTGATGGCAAGAACAGACTTTTACCAAAATTGCATGTGTGAACCAACAGAGGGAAACTATGCTGTGAACTCTTGAAGGATTTACTGTGCAACTTGAAGGGAGAAAAAGAGTAAATATGACAAAGTGGATAAAACTTGGCATTTGAAGCACACATTCTCAATGTGGCTGCATAAACCCAGTTTCTCAGTTGCTCCTAAATCATGTTTCCATCCCTCTGTCATCTCAGCCATCATCCACAAGTTTCATCCCAATATTTCAATATTATTCATGTACTGGGAAGCTGTACACAAACTGAACACAGTATTCCAGATGTGGCTTCATGAGTGCTTACTAGGAAATAATTGTTTCCCATGAGCCACTGACTACAGTACTCCTAGCATGTTTTTATCTCTCATTGCTGCAAGTGTGAACTCAGATTCTACTTTCTTTCCCCTGTCCTTTTCCTCAAAGTTACCCTAAGCCAACAATTCCCCACCTATCTGTACTATTCTACCTTAGGCAGGGCTTTGCATTTCTGTCCTTCAAATTTCATGAGATTTCTATTAACCTATTCATCTAGCTTGTCAGCTTATTTCTGAATGTCCTCCAGCAGGACCATGATTTAAATGAGCTACAAACATTTAAAAAAAATAATTGTTACAAACACTGAAATCAGATAATAGAATAAAACAGTTAACTTGCTTTTGAAAATCACATAGTAATGTATTACCTAGCAGTCTTTTTCAATACATCTTGGGAAAAGAAAGATTTCTTGTGGGCAAGACACTGATGTAAGTTTTATGAAATCTGGGTTGAATTTCATCTGTAACTGATCTTTTGTTCTCAGGCAAGTGATTCCTCTTTGTATGTCAGTTATGGGTGCAAAATGCTGAACTCGATGTTTCATTTAGTATGGCTCTATAAAGTTAAATTCTCTGATGCATGGGAGGCAGTCAGACAAAAAATTGGTGTTTCATGGGTGAAATGTGAAGTTCATTTCACAGAGAATAGTTATGCAGATAAGATACTCTGCAAATAAGTTGCTGTGCATCCATATATCTATTAGTCAAACTCATAGTCATTTTTGTAACTGCACACTTTTTCGTTMAAGTATATTACTTTTCAGTCTCAAATAGAAGGAATACAAGTCTTTTGTTACTTATTAATTCCAAGTTCTGTCCAAGATATTTTTTTCTTCCCAGAAGTTTCTTTGTATGATATAGGCTAATTATAAACAAARTCTGGTCTTCAGGTCCTCAACAATAGCTAAAGCAAAAATGGCTAGCATGACATTTTAAGCTAACTTATCTGTAAACAAAGACCAAGCTTAGGAAATTACAGACTTAGTGACATCCAAGTTTTTGTGAGTAGGTAATGATAGAGTCTAATGGATTAGTCATTTTTATGTGTCATTCTCTTACTAATAGTTGACAATATATGAAAGAAAGGAGTGACAACAGTTTAAATTCAGCAAGCTTTGTAGGAACCCTAAAATATAAAGTTTCTGTGCATGCAGATGTCATTTATCTATTTCATTAGAATTTTTTACTAATCTGTTTATATAGGACACATTTATTATTTGACACTGCACTTCCATATTCTAATTTTGGTTATATTTTTCAAAAAGTGTTATTATCATTTGCTACTGTTGAAATTTCATGTTTCTTAACATATTTCTTTTCAAAGATCTGGAAAAACTGGGAGGTAAAATTGTGTCTCTATGTGGGTGCATGTGTAAACATATATAGACAAAGATTTATTTGTCATATGTGTTTTCTGACATCTTTATTCAATCATTTATATTAATAATTTTCAGTGCATTAGGATTGCTCTTAGGGAAAAYATGCCTTGATAGTTTAGTGGAATATGTCTATCAAGTACTGTTGCCAAAATTCATCTTTTTTTTCCTCTAACCTTTTAATTATTCATTTCTATGTAACAAGGCTGAAAGCAATGTCTGATGTCAAATAAAACCTGAATTTGTCTTTTTGATTTTCTAATTAGTTTCTCTATTCATTTTACTGTGATATGCAAATATAGTACCTGATTTCTAGCAGTACCCTGATTAAACATGGTTCAGCAGTAATGTCCTTCTAAGTAACTACTGCAGTCAGTCAAATATGCTTCATTAACTCAAGTGTGGTGAGCAATATTTGAAATTCCAGGATGAAAAGAAGCCAGAAAATTCATTCATTCATTTGTCTTAGCAGCTGTCCATGGATGGTTTAATGACTAAATCAAAAGAATTGGAAACAGAAATACTTAGCAATGTTTTGGTCTTCTGGGTTACAGTCTATTATTTGCTGTACGGTCTCTTTAAGTGAGCCATTTTTTACCACAAGTTGATGAGTTTTTAAGGTCAGATAGACACAGTCTTAGATATCTGAATATCTTAAATTTTGAAACCAATCCTTTAATAAGAGCAGATGTAAAGACAACATTATAAATAATCTATAAACCCTAAAAAAAAAACCCTAATCTAAGCATACTATAAAAATAGTAAAAGGGGGAAAAAAAAAAAAAAAACAGAAACTGATATGTGAAAATGTAAAAGGAGAGTTAAAATCTCAAAAAACCCCACATCTTCAATGCTAAATTCATTTGCAAACACTGATTTCKATATGATATTTAGATTACATGACATCCGTTTAATTGTTAGACCATGGAGTAACAAATTCAAAACTAAAYGAAAGGGATAAATTGATAGTACAATTTGGAAAACAAGAAGTCATTAATTATCTTTGTTCCATGTGTAAATGAAGTAGATGGAAGTATTCATATATTGCATGTGTATTGTAACTCACCTATAAATAATAAAAAAGTGTAATGAAGTATGGTTCATTTAAAGAGATATCCAGAATCCAGGTATGTGTTTTCAAGGAAAATCATTTGCTTACTATCACATTTAAATACAGCTAAAGAATAATATCTCCATTGATTTCTGTATCCTTTGTATGAGCAGACACTGATCACATGTTTAGCATTATCCTTCCTAGTTACTTCTACCTGAAGATCTGCATGATCTCTGAAGAAATGGTATTGATGGTTGCTTTTTTTTTTAACTAAAAATTTTTGTGTTATTATCTTGCTACCAGATCAGACAATATTAAATATTCAACACCTTGGTGCTTTTCAAATTTGAGGTCTTCTTCCTAACAGTCATTTAATGCAATGTCACAGAACGACTGAATCACTCAGGGAGGAAGGAACCTCAGGAGGCCTCTAGTCTGAATCCTTCTCTTAAGTCTGTGGTCAAAAAAGTCTGCTCAGAGCTATGTAAAGTCGAGTGTGGGAAAACTGCAGCAGCAAAAATTTTGGAAACCTCCACCATCAGAAACCTCACTGCTTTCTCTGGACAAATTTATTTAATATTTGATGGTCCTTAAGGTGAAAAACTTATATTTGGCAAGACTGCCCCTGTTTCAATCTATGACTTTTTTTTTTTTTTTTTTGGTCCTCTTGCCCTGCACCTCACTAACTAACTCACTAACCTGGCTTTTCCTTTTTAATAGTCTGCTCATATGTACTGGCAGACTGCTCTTATGTTGCCCTCAGAGCTGAACAGGATCAGCTCCATTAACTCTTCCTCACAGGGCAAGTGGATCTGTCCCATTTACCTCGGTGGTGTTCTGCAGCACTTGGTAGAGTTTATCAACATCTTCCTGCATTTGGAAGTTCAAAAATGGATGTAGTAAGACAGATATGGCCCACATCTGAAAGGAACAAGGATGTGAATGGATTTTTGCAGCCTTAGAACAGTTCTTTCCATAAAAATCTCAGTATTAAATAACTTGTWATTCCAACCCGCTGACATTTAGTATAAGCCCATTTAGTAAACATCTTCTATTATTTTAATCTAATTCAGAGCTAATTGAAATGCATATGAGAACACAACCTTCTGTAATCATAGATCCAGACATTGAACCAGTCAGGCTGCTCACAGTACGTTTCCCTAAGGACAAAATAGATTTTGTAAAGATTGTTTTAAGAAGGCATTAAAAAGAAAAGAAAAAAAGATCTTTAGGGCAGGGCATTGCTTACCTCTAATGAGTAGCAAATCTTGTTTGTTCTGGAGACACAGAAGCTAAGAGTTACAGTATTTGTTATTTGATTTTTCTAAGGTGGATCTTACCTTTGCAATTGACATCCCTTGCTTTTTATGGGGAGCCCTGTGGGAAGGGAGAAAGGTAACATAGTATTGCATTGAAATTGCCCTGCTTTTAAGAATAATACTTGAAAGAATGGTAGAAATGTGAAGGAAAAAAATGCCTGGTATGTATTTGCAGTATTATGAATCACCTTAGAATGTTGATTTCAACATTTCTTTAGCATTTTGTTTTTCAAGATTTTAAAGCTTTACTGTTAAATGTATAGTGTATTTTTCTTTCTAATTCTTTGCTTTAGAAGAATAAGTATTCAGAAACCTTTCAGTTACAGAAGAATCTGAAAGTAGAATTAAAAATTTGAACCTGCTCAGCCGCAAATTAGAAAAAAAAAAAAACAAAGAAAAAAAACAGACAAGCAAGCAAGCAAAGAGAACAATCCAAATTAAAATCAGAAAAAAAAAAAAAAGACAGAAAAAAAACCTTCTATGTTTAAAGGAGGCACTGGCTTTAAACTTGACTTGCTTAACTATGACAGCTGGTCATTTTGGTTGTTGGAACTTTTTTGCCATTTTTTAGTTGGCTAATGTTAAAACCTAAAAAAAGTCAGAAGTTGCCTGTGTACTGAGAAACACAGGCAAAAAACCTACTTATGGGGTTGTAAATTTATGGGGTTGTAAATTTATGGTGTTGTAGATTTGAGGCTGAACATCAAAGGAAAGGGAAGCTGGATGTGGACTCTGAACACCGCAACTTGCTGTTTCTCTTCAGCTGGGCTAGTAGTTCTTATTACTGTTGCTATAGAAGCTGAAAGAGAAAAAGAATCATTTTTGATTCTCCCTCAGAGGACTCTCTTCCCTATTCTCTCCCTCTGCCTCACAGACCTTTAAAAGCTTTTCCACCAAGACTGTACTTTTAAAATTTTTCTTTAAAGCTCACTGCTTTTGTAGGAAGACAGTGACGTTTTGCAGCCATGCATAGCATTTGGATGTGCAGCTTCATTTATAGATACTGTTTTTGAGAGAGAAATGGACTAAGACCATTAGGTGATTTCATACATAGCACTGCACAGCCCTTGGAGATTTTCAGTGTGTACTGACTTTCTGCTTGATTGAACCTCTGAATGCAGTGCTTATAATATCAGGTATGCTAAGTTGTAATTTCACTATAAGACTGTTGATAAGTTTGAAAATTTGAAGACAATTGATTYAGTGTTACAATATCGTCATTGTCCAGTCTTTTTCAATTCGTGGATACGTTTGCCCTACTGAATGCTAAGAGTTCTCTCTTTTCAGAAGTAGGAAGTATACTCTTGAAACTTGGAGGATGCTTTGGCTAGAAGGTGTCTTTCTGTTTTCAGAAAAAAAAAYAGATATAAAGTAATGCATATTGAAAGTAATAACTTTTTTTATTATTATAGCTATAAATAAAAGTAGATGGGATATAAGAATTCTTTTCTAATCRAACTTCTTGGCTTTCTTTTTTACTCTCAAGGGCTATCTAGTTCCACATGATACATGCATGTTAGTCTGTTTCTGAGTTCTGCCCTGGAGCAAACTAAAAAGTCTCTGACTGTAATAAACCTGTCATGAAACAGAGGACAGTCATGCTCTCATCCTACTCTCTATGAAGTAGAGTCATGATGTAAGCCATATCTGGATCCTTTCAAGATTCTTTACAAATATTACTGAAGGACCCAGACCTCTACTTATCAATCTATATCTCCTATTTAATCCTCACTGATATCATGTGGAATTTATAARGTAGGCACCACATTTCTCTACTTCTTTATAAGGAAAGGTCAGAAGCAAACAAAACTCCAAGGAAAGAGCAGTAAGAGCCAGCTGCTGCAAGAGCTATGCTTGCATTGGTGGCCTTTACTTTTTGTGGAAGAACKATTTGAAAATGGGAACTGAGAGGAAAATTAGGGTCTAACAGAAGCCTTGGCATTGCAGAAGCTTGCTTGGGGTGAGACCCAGTTGCCACTTCCAGGATGGCTGGTACGCACGGACTCCGCCCCTCCACGGTTGCCTGGGCAACACAACCTGCCATCCTCGCAGCTGCAAAGGGGAGTAACAGAGGATGGAGCGGAGTGAAGACCCTGCGGCCAAACACTGTTGCACTCCCTGTGCTGGGCCGCTGATAAGCCACACAGCAGCTGTCCAATGGGAGATATACGATAAAAAGTCCGGTGCTGAGCCAGRAAAGTGGCAGCTCACTCCTTTTGGATGAACTTTGCTTGAGCTTTGATCATTATACGCTCATTGTAATGCCAACACACACCTCCATCCCAAAAGTTACCCGCCTCCGAGGTACGACCACCCCTCACTGAGCATGCGCTCTAGATTTTCTATTGACTGTACCTTTCAATGAAGGCGAGAAACTTTTTCACCAATCAATAACAATATTAAGTATGACTCTAGTCACTCAAGCTCCACCTGAATGTAAAKAAAGGTATAAAAGGTCAACTAAAGATGAAGAGCTTGGAGGGAAGACTCCATCGTAACTCTTGGGTCAGTCAATGGGCTGATCCCCCTTCCCTCCCCTTGGGTTGAGTGGCCGCCTGAGAAGACTAAGAACTGAAAGGGAAGAAACCATCATAGCTCTTGGGGCTGATCCCCCCTCCCTCCCCTCAGGTTGAGGCGTTGTGGATTTTTCCTGTACTGACATCTGAAACCTGCTTTTTAAACATTGCATTTGAATAAATCATACTATTTGTGAACTCAACTACTTGTTTGAGGGGAGGCAATTGGACCTACAGTTGAATCCGATACTGCCAGAATTGAGTTTATAGTTGATCACACTATTTGGGAACTCAATTCACTCCTAGGAAGGCAACTGAACCTACGGTCCATAGTCTGTTTGTGAAACCAATACTGATTTGATAACTCCTTTCCCTCCACCAACACTACAGCTTTCAAACTGCAACATTTCACACTTTTCAGAAAAGAAAATCTGCTTGCTTCTTCCGGAACGGTTTGCCATTAATCATGTCTGATATCAGGGCTGAAAAATAAATCTCTGACATACATAACTCTTCTACTTCATATGAAGAAGAATGACGGTGTTCATGCATGACTGAATATAAGGAAGGCTGTGAGTTAGGAAAGAGAGAAACAAAGTGAATAAAAGACAATTGTTTGGGAGGTCAGATAAGAAAATATTAGTATTGAGGAAAGCAATATATATAAGCCAAGATATTGACATCTTAAATGTGCTATTCTATTAAGGGTGCCTTCACTGACCTCTTTTCCATTTCAGAAATCAAGACACACAAGTGATGGGCTGTACATTGGAAAATTGTAATGATGCATCCACTCCTGACAAATATGCTCTCCTAAGAACCCATGTCAACCATGGGGGGTGCAGCAAAACACAGTAGCAGGACAGAGGTCAAGGACACTGCTATCAGATTTCTGTATGAGCATTACTGAGTACTCCTGATGCTGTGGCTAGTGTGCAGGCACTCACATTCAGGTCAGGAGGAGCTGAAATCCCATGGCAGACCGTAGTTGTGTAAGGGGGACTGCATGACATGAAGGAGCAGAACCAACAGAAGTCAAGATAAAGATGCATGAGTAAACATTGTTGAGGTTTAAGCCTTCAAGGTGAAAGAGTCTCCAACAGAGGACTTCAGATTCCAAAAAAATAAAGCGTAGGTATCATGTATTAGGCTAGTTAAGGTCCAACCTGAGTGTCAGTATCTTAACTAGTCTTAACTTGGATGACAAGTTAAGACTGAAAGGCTTTAGGCATATCTAGCTAGCTGGCAGCTGAATATCACATTCCAAGATCGTGGCTTGAAGAGCCTCACCTAAATCCCATTCATATCACACACAATTTGGTTCTAAGACAAATTCCCTTGATGAATTGAGTCCAAATTACTTTCTGGTTCAAGGCCTTAATGAGCACCGAGGGTCCACTCATCACTAGCCTTCAAGAAGTTGATTGGATGGATGGTCAGACAATACAAATGCTTTTTACAGAAATTCAGGTAAAAGACCAGCACTCATGTCCTTGAAAATTGTAACATGTATTTATAGTGAAAGTTTGTCCTTTTGTTCTAATGTTGAAAGGCATTGTTGKTTTTTTTTTTATTTACTTCAGAATTATTAAATGCATTCATTTCTGACAACAGGGCAGCTAAATATATATTAAGAGCACAAAAACTGTATGCAAAACAGATTTCATTGGATTCAGATTAACTTTTATGAAAAAAAAATTAAAAAAGAAAAAAAAAAAAGAGGTTGTCCTGAGCATTTTTTAGCACTACTTCTCCAAATTAGCCATTTTTATATGATGCATTTATAGAAAATATTAGAAATGCAATTCAATAGGTAGAGTCCTCTGGATTTTAATGAGACTCATTGCACTTAAGGTCCCAACAATATGTGYGTCACATAGATACTGACTGTATTTCTTTCATTATTAGTTATATAACTAATACAGATTTTTTTKGAGTTTTACACAAACATTTCAATGCTTGCTTTTCACTCCTCCCAAACTGATAAGAATAGCAACATATTTTGCTATGAATATACCAACAGCAATCAAATAAATAACTTCAATGCTGTTTTACTAGTGTAAATTTATGATGCCTCACAAAGAATAACCTACTTTCACATCAAGTAGCTAACCAATGACATATTTGATAGAGACATCCTGCAATAAAAATATGAGTCTAGATGCTGTTGCTATGGGTCAAAGAAATGATAGAAARAAAATGTGAGATATAGGGAGAATAGGAGGAAGGCAGTGCAGAGTGGCAGTTGCAACAGAACTGATATGCAGTTCTTCCAAATGTAAGGTATAAAGTCTTTTTCTCTGTTTTTCCTGTCTTTGCTTTGTCTTCTTAAAATGCAAAGATTGAAGCCTCTGAGACTTTTGAAGTGGCTTTCTTTCCTCCTTTTTACCTCTTCTCCCTTTTTAAATAACTATTCACTGGGCACACTGAGGTCAGAAATTTTTGATCTTCAGTATTATATGAATACTGCATTGCTACTGTCAGCTTTGGATCATATTTCCAGAGAAGAAASGAGAGAGAAAGAAATT